GGTGAGTAGTACTCCACTGTATATAAATACATTTTCTTCCATCTTTTGATGGGCTGTTTCTAAGATTTAGCCATTATAAATTGTGCTGCTATGAACACGATATGCATATATCACTGTGGTATGATACTTTAATTCTTTTAGGGAGATTCACAGAACAGCTGGGTCAAATGAAACTTCTAGTTTTAGAATTTTGAGTAATCTCCATATCAGTTTACATTCCCACCAACAATAAAGAAGGGCTCCTTCTTCCCCACAGCCCCACTAGCATTTGTTATTGGTTGATTTCTTGAGGATAGCGGTTTTCCCAGAGATGAAATCTCAGTGTTGTTTTAATTTGCATTTCTCAAATGATCAGTGATGTTGAACCCACAAATTGGGAAAAAATTTTAGCTCACTGTCCCTTGGACAAAGGTCTTCTATCTAGAACATACAAAGAATTAAAAAACATCAGCCCCGCCCCAAAATTCAAAGACCCAATCCAAAAATGGGCAGCTGAAGTGAATACACACTTCCCAGATAAAGAAATACAAATGGCAAATACATGAGAAAATGTTCAACACCATTAGTCATTCAAGAAATGCAAATTAAAACAGCATTGAGATTTCATCTCATCCCAGAAGAATGGCTAGCATTAAGAAAGCAACCCATAACAAATGCTGGCGAGACTGTGGAGAAATAGGAACTCTTCTCCACTGCTGGTGGGAATGCAGACTGGTGAAACCACTGTGGAAATCAGTTTGGAGATTCCTCAGCAAACTAAGTCTAGAGGTCCCATTCAACCCAGCTATTCCCCTTTTGGGTATTTTCCCAGAAGATCTGAAAACATCGTATCACAGCGATGTATGTGCACCCATGTTCATAGCAACACAATTTGTAATTGCTAAATTGTGGAAGCAACCCAAATATCCATCCACTGAGGAATGGATAAAAAATTGTGGTACTTTTATATAATGGAATATTACTCAGCTATAAGGAAAGATAAACTCGAGGCTTTTACAGGTAAATGGTCACAACTAGAGACTATACTCATAAGTGAAATAAACCAGACCTCCATGTGTAAGCAACGTATTGTCTCACTAGTGTAACAACCTGACAGAGTGAATAAAAATTAGGAGGTATGATAGACATTGTGAAACGAAAGGACACTGCTCAAAAGTAAAGAGCAACTGGGATGAGGGAAAAGAGAAACGAAAGGGGAAATTATGTATGTATGTATATACAGGATAGCTAACATAGTTGTACTACTGACTTCTACCACTTTACTGAAAGGAACAGTTAATGAGTAATTATTTTATTAATCTTCCATGTCTCTATGTTTTCCTGAGAAACCACTTTGAAGATATCAATATGTAATATAACAACCATTGTTAATTTCCTACCACCTTGTCTGTAATTCACTATTGCTGGTATTGTTCTCATGCTATTTTGTAAATGGATGTCTGTATGTTTTGCTGCTTTTATTTTTAAACTAAATTTTAAAAAATGACCTGTGATGTTGAGCATTTTTTCATATATTTATGTGCTATTTATACTTCTTCTGAGAAATCTCTATTCATTTCAGATGATCGTTTTTGGACGGGGTCTTTAACCTTGGTTCCTCATACTTGGTCACAGACGCCCATGCAATACTTTTCTAATATAACTAATGTAGCATAATGGTAACTGGTGGAATGCAGGAAGCAATCTTGGTACGACTTCACCCACTCTGTATAACAAAGAGCAAAGTATGTGTAAGTGTATCAAAGTGTAAACAGGTGAGTTTTACCCATGTTATGTATCATGTTACTTTTCTGTCTATATGTAATTTTTCATTAAATGTTTTCTTTGGATTTTTCTTGTTGAATTAGCCCAATTCAGTACAATGTCACATGAAAATCCACTTTTGCAACTTTGGGAGGAAGTTCAAAGTGAATCATCAGGTGACTCAGCTACCAATGATACTTGCTTGGATCATGTAAGCCAGGGAAGTTTGCAAGATATGACAGATAGAGAAGTACAGAGGAAAGACTTCGATTCAGATGAAGAATAAAACAGTAATGGAAATAAATATTTGACTCGTCGAGTCAAAATGCTACAAAATGGTCATGTATACCTAAATGATCCAATGTTAGAGCTGGGTTAGAAAATGTTAATAGGTTCTTGCCAGGTTAAAACCTATTGGACAGAATCCCAACACTGAGATTCAATGTTGGAAATTGTTTGTAATTGACAATATGTTACAAGATGTTTTGAAATATAGTAATAATGAAATATAAGTAAAACATTCTATATGCATCAATAGTAATACTAAAAAATATATTTATCATGATACCTCACTATCTGAACTAAAAACCTTCATAGCAGGACTTTCTCATTCTAATTGTCAGAATTTAAAGGATTTATGGAGAAGTGACAGATGCTTTTAGATTTTTAGAACAATAACAACACTCAAGAGACTTGGCTTCCTGCAAAATTGTCTACAGTTTGATGACAAAAAGACCTGCCAAGAAGGCAAAAAAATCAGACAATTGGCTATTTGCTCATTTTTTAAAGTTTTGTTTTGAACCATCAAGCAATTTATACTCCACACAAATACATGACAATTGACAAACAACTTGCATCATTTCATGGTTGTTGAAGCTTCTGGCAATATGTGACAAGTAAACCCTCCCAATACAGTATAAAAATATATGCTCTGATAGATGTGAAGACATTTACACCCTGAATTTTGAAATTTATCCTGAAACTCAGCCACCAGGCCTTTATTCATGCAGTGATAACCTGTATGATGCTGTGAGCAGACTTGTTGCACCTATTTCGAATAACCCAAATGTCACATTTGCCAGTTGGTTCACTAGTTACCCATTGATATATTTGCTATAAGAACACCAGTTGACCAGCACATGAGCTATTTGCAAGAACAAAGCTGAGATTTCTAAAAAAAATGTTGCAAGGTCACAATAGAGAAATGCAATTATTTAGATTTCAGAAAGACATAACATTGGCCTCCTATATGGTGAAGAAAAACAAACTACTATTGATTCTGTAAACATTCCACCATGATAGTAAGATAGAGAGTGAAGCCAGGCATGGTGGTGTATCCCTGTAATCATGGCACTTGGGAGGCTGAGGGAAGAGGATACTGCGTTTCAGGATATCCTAGATCACATTATGGTGAAGAAAAACAACGTAATATTGATACTGTCAACCTTACACCATGATGATAAGATAAAGAGGCCAGACATGGTGGGGCACACCTGTAATCCCAGCATCCGAGAGGTTGAGGCAAGAGGATGCTGTGAGTTCAAGGTCAGCCTGTGCTACATAGTGAGTTCAAGGTTAGCCTGGACTACCTAGCAAGATCCTGTTTCAAAAGCAAACATTCATAGTGAATCCTCAACCCAAATGATGCCAGACATGGTCACACTTTACAACAAAACTAAAGGCAGAGTAGATATGGTTGATGAATTATGCAGCAGCTATAATGTTAGTTGAAACACAAAGTGTTGGTCAATGGTTGTGATTTACTGGATCCTAAACATGCCAGGCACAAATAGTTTCAAGGAAAATATCAAGCACAAAATATCATGGAGAAATTTTCTTAGATGACTAGGACTGGAATTGATAAAAGACCAAATATAACAAAGGATTAACAATATGCATCTGCTCAAAGAACTCCTCAAAAGAATTTTGGAACAGACTGGTAAGCAGACAAGTGAAACATCACAAGAACCTCCTAAGAAAAGAGGAAGACCAGCAAGATGTCAAGTATGTCCTACCAACGAAGACAGGAAAACAAAATACATGTGCTTTCAGTGTAAGCAATACTTATGTATTGAATATGCTGTTGTGTGAAGACATCCTCAGGTGTGATAATTTAAGTAAAGATTATGTTTGTGGTAGAGTTTTGCTTGCATTTTCATTGTAGTTAACAAAAGAATTTATTTCTGCTGGGTTTTTTAATATTTATTAAGCAAACACTTGATGTAGAAAATGTTTATTCTAAACACTCAATATATATTTGATATTTTATTGATATTTCATTTTCCTAAGTTCATACTGTATTTTGTTGTTTTTTTTTTTTTGGTTTTTGGTTTTTCTCCGGTACTGGGAACCGAACTCACGACGTTGCGCTTGCCAGGCAGGCGCTTTGCTGCTGAGCTAAATCCCCAGCCCCTCATACTGTATAATATGATAAGACACTCCTAACAAAAGAGGAAGACAAGAGAGGTGACAATAAGGGCCTGCCAAACAGGAAATGAAAGCTAAGCACATATGCTGTCAGTGTGAGCAAGACTTGTGTATAGACATGTTGTCATAACTGCCTTAGGTGTGATAACTGAAGCTAAGACTATTTTTGTGGTAGAGTTTTGTTTGTATTTTCATTGTAGTTCTTTTTTTTTTTTTTTACACTAGAATTGTATTTACTGAAGAAACTGATTTAACTTCTGCCCAGTGCACCAAAACAAGCAGAGCAGACATTAGTGCAAGTTAATATGACATTTAAAACACAAAAACAGGGGCTGGGGATTTAGCTCACCGGCAAAGCGCCTGCCTGGCAAGCGCAAGGTCGTGAGTTCGGTTCCCAGTACCGGAGAAAAACCAAAAACAATTAAAAAATAAAAAAAAAAAACACAAAAACAAAACATCTAGTTTTGACAAGAAAAATGTCAATTCTTTCCCTGTAAGCACAAAAAAATTCAACAGGTATTTTGAATGTAGTAACTAGAAAATATAGCAGTAACTCTTGTAATCCTTCTCAGTCAAACAGACTAATCACACTGACAACAACTGTTAAAAATACCTTTCAGCCTGAGTATTTATCAACCTGTATGTCCTGTTGTTCCAATTGGCTTTTGGTAAAAAGCAAAAAGCCCAATAAACATTTTATAAGAGGTACCACATCTATAAGTGATGAAAATAAATTAGTTTCCTCCCCCCAAAAGACGTTAACTTCTAATGCATAAAAGCTATATAATATCTTACACAAATCAACCACTGTTCTTACAAAAGTCAAGCAGTTTTGGATTGATGAGATTTTACTTTATTTGTGGTGAAGTATGAGGCACAAGAACATATGCATGCACTAGGCATTTTCGTCTAATCGGTCTCTAAGGTCATCTTTCAGTTCTTGGCAGTATGTAATCACCTGAGATGTATCTTGATACTTAAATCATGAATTAAGAACAAGGAGCAATGTGTTATAGTAACAGGTCGTCTAACTTCTATGAACTTCGTGACTTGTCTTTCCGTTGATCACCAGTAGTAGACCCTTACTTTGATTCTTCAGTAGCTGGTTTTCCTTTGTCTTCCTCATCTTTTAAAATTAACGGTTTAGCGAACTTAATATGCAGTCCTTTGTAGTGCACCTTCCTTTTGCTTTCAGACTCTTGGTTCTTTTCTCTCTCTGCTGGTGACGGATCATTATCCTGTTCTCCCGTGCTTCCTTGTTCTGCAGGCTGGTACTCTGGCTCTGAGGCTTCAGCAGCAGCTACTTTCTTAGCCAAGATATCCGGAGCTGGGGCTGCAGTGGGTTCTGACTCAGTAACAGCATCCGCGTCATCACTCATAACACCTGGTAAAGGGGTGCTTGGTTCATCTATTTTCGTCGAACCGTGGCCTTTGTCAGCGGAATGGCAGGTTGCCAGTATATTCATTTCATCCCACTTCTGTGACTTTTTACTCCGCTTCTTGTGGACTCTCCCGCGGGGCTCTTCGGCCGAGGCTGCCATGGAGGAAGTCGCAGCGGCCGTGTTCTTGAGGATCCCCTTGATGGGCTGGGGTGACACCGCGGTCGAGGCCGAGGTGGAGGTTGCGGTCGAGGCCGGCGTCGAGGCCGCCGTCGCCGGGGGTTCCCGCTTTTGGCTCAGTGTTGCGGCTGGCCAGGGGAACAGAAAGAGAAACGGCGACCGGCCAGTGTAGCCGCAGAGCCAGCTCTGGGCTAAGGCTGCCTAACCAGCTGTAGTGGGAACAGTTCCCGGCGTCACCGGCACGACACAATGGCCGTGACGCCACAGTGGACGCCGCGCGGGGAGCGGCCCGC